TGGTGTTGGATGCTACGGCATAATGATTACAATTTTGTGAACTATTCATAGCACAAAAGTTATCTTCCTGCCATGTGATCTGAGTTCATCATTGATTCATACAAAGTGCCTTTTTCCTGAACCTGATCAGCTGAATCAGTCTTTATATTTCAGAATCACTTGTCATGATTGTAAGATGCTTTATGATTTTTTTTTTCTGTTTAGAGATTTCTTTAAAATTAAATACTGGTATATAGATCAGTGACAAGAGTTTGCATGTTCCAACTTTACCCACAGGCTTCCCCACATGTCTGTGTGTGTGTGTGTGTGTGTGTGTGTCTGTGTGTGTGTACTATGTATACCACAGCATGTATGTTTTCATTAATTACATTTTTCCACATCCCAGGGATGATGATGTGGAATTTGAATTGGAAAGACAGGTAATTGGAAATGAATCGCAGTTCATTATTGAGTTCAACACAGTCAGAACAGTGGAGTTTCATTAGTTAAACACAAGTCTGGGGGGAAAGGAAAGAAAAAAAATTAAAGTTCACGAAATATGCCTGTTTATTGATTGCAATCCAGAATTTTGAAAGTTTTTTTGAACAAAAAAACTAAGCAAACATTACAAATGACATTATAAATATAATATCATAGCCACAAATTAAGAAATAGTCCCCATGTTCGCCAACCACGTTTAAAGGGAGCCTGGCACATGACACGAAATAATATATTTATTGTGGCCACGAATTACAAACTCGTTCTCTCAAGCTAACAAATTAAGACAGTGCTGGGGATTACATGCACTCATAATTAGAGTACATTACATTTTATAATGCTCGTAATCAGATTACATTTTTTATGGATTACATGATTACATATTATTCACACAATGGTAGTAAATTATTCATAATTTATTGATTCTTTTTTCTTTTAAAGAATGTCAGCTGTTGGTTACATTGATATGCAGGTAAACCAATTAAATTTCTATTTTTAGTGTTCAAGTGTTTAAACAACTCATTTAATTTGACATTTTTATGATTTAATTCATTTTTAGCTTTTTATCCACTCAAACACCCACTGCAGTTCTTACATTAAGCCCATAGGAAACCCTGGTTTAATGTAATGTTTAATGCATTTTATCATGTTGATATAAAAAAATGGAATATATTTTCTTTCCCTTTCCTTTTTCTGTCTGTATGGCACGTTTAATGGTAAGTTTAAAACAAGTCATCTAAAAAGTCGTCAGAATACATTACGTTACAAACTAGTTTTCATCATGTAATCTGTGATCAGTAACAGACTCTAATTTGTAAGTAATCTACTCAGATCTGCTCTTTAATGTCTTTACTGTACAAGTCATTAGTCCCTTATTTCTTTCATTCGTCATATATATTTTACAGCATTTAGTCATCTTGGTTAATGTTGCTTTATATACTGATGTAGTCCGTGTTTCATGTGTAATGTCAGATTTGCTTTTAAGGTGCACACAATTATTTAAAATGTAATATAAACAATTTATTAGTCCGTTATAAATGACCTTATCGTTTGTCTTATAATATGTTTAAGAGAAAATGCATGCTTTATTTAAATCTTTATTGTCTTTCACAGGAAATGTTTTCTAAATACAGTGAACATTAGAGAGGAAAAAAATGTCTAGTTTTTAATAGCGAGAGGAAAATACAGAACGAGGATTGTTTTCATATTAAACATCACAACAGACATTCATATCACTCAGTTTATGAAAATATATTAGATTTCAAGTAAGAGAACTCGGAAGCATTTACATATAATCAGTGAACCAAACATATGTTTATTTGTTTTTTTTTAGATATACAAAACTGTTGCCTAATGAAGTTACATTTTGCTGAATAAATTATTTAGAGAGAGCTGTTGATAAGATTGTTGAATGGCCATTTTCTGTTGTTTGAGATACAAAATAGGTGGTTATGTAGGATATTTCTTGAAAGAAATTTTTGAAAATGAGAATTGTGATTAAAAAAGTAGGTGTAATTAATAATGGCTACTCCTTGGTTACTGTCAGTCTTGGTAAATTTAGTTATATAGCCTATATATATATATATATATAGAATCTGCTCCTGATTCCACAAATAGTACAATAGCAAATGTGTTGACTAAAAAAAGAGCCTCGATAATAAAACATACAGGGACCATCGGAGAGCTATGCAGAAGCGTTTTGTGAATAAAAACTTCCCTGAAGCAATCACACTGCTTCATAAAGTTTGCATACACCACTGGATTTGAAACTCTTTGATCAGACTAAAACTACAGGTTCTGTTCTCATGAAATCAGTTTTTATTTCTGGCAATTTCATAATATACAATTAGAACAATATACACTAGTACATTACTGAGCTTAAGCGATAATATAATAATCATAAACAACATTACTGACATGTTATTCATCATTAATAACTAACACATGTCTAACAAAGACTGCATGCTTACTGTAACGCAGGCGCACAATAACAAAACTGGAATGTGTTTTTCACCTGGTTAGTCAAGCCACTAACGTAAGAGCATTTCTATATCAGCAGAAAGCATTGTTTAATTCTCAATTCATCACTATCGCTTAGTTTGACAAAATGGTATTACATGGAAATAACAACAATTAGGTTAATAGACATCAATGTCACTGATAATTAATTTGGTACTATTGCTCCTCCCAAACATTTAAGTACAAACCTATAGACCCAAATTTAAGATTTATGTACTTGAATTGCATATAAAATGTTCATCCATTTGGATTACTAACATAAACTAAATGTGATGCATATTTGTCAGTCATGCACAACTGAAACAGGCACTGATAACAGATTTCTGTAATAATATTAATAAAATGAGTTTGTATTCAATACACAATACCCAGGTTTATATATTTATCATCAATAAATCCAATTTGTTTCACTCTCATTCATTTTAACTGAATATTGCTTGTTCCAACACTAGCTATATTTGAACTCTTCATACTTTTTAACTGAATACATGTAATAGTTTTCAGAATGAACAGCTGTATGCTGATTCTAAGCAATTTGAATAAATGCATTTTAATTTAATTTATTTATTTAGTTAGTTAGTTAACCAGTTTCATTTATGCATGACTGGGCAAATATTCATCACATTAAAGGAATAGTTCACCCAAAAATGAACATTTGCTGAAAATGTGTTCACCCTCAGGGCATCCCAGATCAGGATGAGTTTGTTTCTTCATCGGGTTTGGAGAAATGTAGCATTGCATCAGTGTCTCAGCGATGGATGCTCTGCAGTGAATGGGTGCCGTCAGAATGAGAGTCCAAACAAAGCTTTATTATGCATTATGGACTCAATGTATTTTAGTTACAAACGTCTTAATGCTGGATTTGTCTCAGCTTTTGTCTTCTCCAGATGTTAACTGATGGACTGGAGTGCTGTGGATTACTTGTGGATTATTGTGATGTTTTTATCAGCTGTTTGGACTCTCATTCTTACACCAAAAACATCATAATTTAGAAGTAATAGGCTATGATTGGCTAACAGTTGTGTTTGTTTGACAGTCTACATCCTTCACAGATATACGCTGCTGTGATTTAGGTTAAAAACGCATAAATACTCAGTACATATCAAGCGATCTGTAATAACAGACAAAGCAATAGTGAGCACATAATAAAAACAGTTCCTTGCAAAGACTGTTTGAGGGGATTTTTAGTGCGCGTGCTTCAGGTGTAGACGCTCAGAAAAGGCGCTTGTCAGAACAGCACGCGAATGAAATGTTTAACCAGCGAGGCTTTAAAGCACATGCAAATAATGTACTTTTGTGATTGCGAATAAGTGCAGTGTACAGTATATTGAGACGGAGGCACCAGAACTGCAGCTGATAGAATAAGATACTACCATATTTAACTTGGATAAAGTTGGTTTTATATTCGCACATTCACACATTACCATAAGTTTCTAATTATATGTGCAATAAAGTTATTTTTGCAAATTCTAATCAGCAACATGACTGTCAACCTACTACATTTTTTTTCCACAATCGATCAAAACGGCCAAGTATAGTTTTAATGGCATACTTACTTGCGAATGTCCACCGAATGTCCAATGTAGAGCAGAAAACAAGATAGGGACCGTCTAAAAAGTTTAAATTTTTTAATTGTGTGCAAACAGACAACAACTTTGTAGCCAACTACAGATGTCCCAGCAACTATCACTCACATTATGCCTTCTAATGCTATAGATTTTCCTTTAGCAACAATAAAAATTGCATTATAATGATGTTTTTTGAAAAGATGTTTGGGAAACGAAAAATAATGAACATGTACGTGAACTGTAATTTGGTAGCAATCCAGTGGAAAGTGGAAAATCACCTGGAATCTCCTGAACATAGTTAATCGCTTCATTTTACAACTGTTTTTATTTATATCTTTGCTTCAAAATGAAAAAGACCTGTGTTGGTTTGTTATGGTTTTAACAATGACATATGCTTTATCCCAATAGGTTTTGAAAGCATGGGCCGACTACTCCAAAGCCAGTTGGAACATCTTGTCTGGAGCCTACAGAACATACTACAGCCCATGTCTTGCTGTTTTATTCACCTGTTTTTCTGGGTTTAGTGTATCTCACTCATAGGTTTCTTTTAAGAAATTAAGATCCTTGGATTCTTCACATGGCTCTTATCTGGCCTGTGGTAACTTGCTATTGTTATGCATACTTTGTTTGAGGAGAGGGGCGATGTGTAAGTTAGTTCTGGGAAAGACGGGCACAGCCAGTGTATGGGACTGGACTTGAATGACCCAGATCAGTTACAGTTTTTCACAATCGATTTGGCACATTTCTCCAATCTCAGGTTACTGTTCTGAAAACATCTTACACAGTGATCTGAACACTTTATAATTGTCCCAAACAGATCGTTGTTGTTTTCATTCATGTCATGCAAATTACAAATCATGCAAATCATTTTCTCAAAACACTGTGAACAAAACTCTCAAATGTTTTCGTAAGTTAATACAACTAACCAGTAAAAAACAATTGTAGCTCCTTTTATTGGTTTTATACAAATCACAAACATTGATTTGTCCAAACACAACAAACAACACTCTGTAATCTGTCACATCATCAAATGCACAACCACAAACTAATAACTGCTCGCTTAATAACAGACAACAAAGGAAATGCAGTTTTTCTAATTGTTAACACATTTATCTCAATTGCTTAAAAGGGGAAAAATATACAAAGAGCAAGAAAAAATATGTAAAGGGTGGTGGGGGGGGGTAGATGAGTAGAGTGCAGGCCATTGGTGTAAAGATCATGAGGAGAAACTGTAAGAAGACATGGACAGAGAAGAAGTGGACAGCACAGTGGAAGGAGAGATAGAAGGTTCAGACCAATTTCAAATCAAAGCAGTTACCCTAATTGACCATGTACGAAATCACGGCCTCTCCTTTAGAGAAGCTGGGGGACAGATCTAAAGAGTTTGTGAACGCACTTCTATATTTCTATATAAATATCGTACTGTAGAGATGTTGAGACAGGAGCTAACCTTCTCGCATTTTTCCCCGCTATGATGTAAACACAGCAAGAATGTAGTGTGGATAAAATGCAGTGCAGATGAAATTCTCTTCCAGTTGTAAATGAAAGTCAAGATCAATAATTCAGCATAACTCATGTACAAATGCAAACACACACACACACGTACGCGCCTGTATAGTTTACACGATACATACAAAACAAAACTCCCTGTTGAAGAACTTTGCAATACATGTATTTTCATTAGTGTTTTTGTGCATCTACAGCTCAATATGTTTCAATACAGAACAAACCTGTAGATTTGATGTTAATATTTACTTGTAATAAACGCTTTACTAGAAAGCACTGTATGAATGCGATAGTAGCGAAGAAACACCTGCCAGCTTATGGGGTGTTTTGACTTGAGTACACTGTTACAACAGTTACGAGTCTGACAAAGCAAATGAATAAATGTTCCATTGTAACAGACAAGATAAATACGATAAACACTCCTGACACACCATTAGTTAGAATTGATAACTTAAAAATGTTCATTAGAAAATTACAAAATACACAGACATCCATTATTGTTTGAAACGTTTTTAAAGTATTTGTTTCAACTATTAAAATTTTGATGAAGAGGGTATACTTCAGACATTTTTATTCAGAAACATTAATTTCTCAACTGTTTTAGGGCTAAGGCGATTTCTTTTTTTTGACACAACTTCTCCTGCCTTTGAAAACACCCTATCGCAAGGCACAGATGAAGCCGGGGTACATAAATACTTGACAGCAAGCCTATACAGATGAGGATATATAAGCTTCTGTCTCTCCCAGTACTGCAGGGGGTCCTCTAATCGCCCAATATTTGGTTCGGCAAGGTACCGCTGGACTTCCACACTAGCGTCTGCTGTAACGCTGTGCCTTCTTCTCGACTCCATCACACTGTCATCCAGATGACGCCACAGTTTGTTACCTAAGAAGTATACAAAGACCTTGTTAGTGAGTGTAGTTATTAATCCAAAATGACCTCAAAACCAAAAACCAAATTACCTGGAGTTACAAGTTCAGCCCCGTGTGATGCTGATGGTTGAGCTGCAGAGCTAACTATGGCAGCACACTCTGATGTAAGCCTTTTTATGGCCTCGTTGGCTTTTGTAGGACTAAAAAATCCCATCGCTTTGAACCTAGGGTCCAGCATTGTTGCAAGCGACATGATGCTCATAGACTGCAATGTGTTGAGCTTCTCCATTAACTGTCTTTTCAGATGCTCTCCCATTTGTCTTGCCACTGGAGATGCCATATTCTTCATCTCTTCCTGCAGATTTTCATCTAGCATTTTAAGCAGTGGCAATACCTTAGACCCAGAAACCTTCTTTTCTTCTGACAGCTCCACAGTGGCATCATTAAAGCCAGAGAGCAATGAAAGGCATGCAGTCACAGAGGTGAGCTCATCAGAGCTCAGTGGGGGTATCTCAGTGGCCAGACTGGCTAAAGCTGCCCGCACTGGCTCTTTGAGCTCCACCAGACGGTGCAGCATTTGAAAGGTGCTGTTCCAGCGGTTCTCCACCTCCTGAAGGAGCTTCAGCGTAGGCCTTCCCATCTGCTGTTGCAGCTGTGCAAGCTTTTCCTTTAAAAAAGAGTAGCAATTAATTTTTATAAAGTGGATAGTTCCGGTCCTTGATTCTGATTGGCTGAGCCGCGTTCTAAGCTGTTGTGAATTACTCTACAAACATACACCTTTGTTTACTTCTGTGTGTTGCTCGGCAACCACTTTGTTGCAACCACAACTATCTGGAATCTGAGGGTGCAAAACAATCAAAATATTGAGAAAATCGCCTTTAAATTTGTCCAAATGAAGTTCTTAGCAATGCATATTACTAATCAAAAATTAAGTTTTGATATATATACAGTAGGACATTTACAAAATATCTTCATGGAACATGATCTTTACTTAATATCCTAATGATTTTTGGCATAAAAGAAAAATCAATAATTTTGACCCATACAATGTATTGCTGGCTATTGCTACAAATATACCCCAGCGACTTAACACTGCTTTTGTGCTGCAGGGACACATATGGAATAACTGTTTTATAAAAGCAATAAGCCCCGTGAAGCCGTGGTTTACAGTGAATTTATAACAGCTACTCCACTTTGCGTCGTGCCTAACAACGCCCCTTAGCTGTTATAAATTCACTGTAAACCACGGCTTCACGGGCTTATTGCTTTAAATTGTCACAGCAGTAGTAACACAAGCAGAAATTGTAACAGACTCAAAGAACACACCTTAGCAGTGACGCTGCTTCTGAAGTATCCCACGAGCTTCCTCGCCTTGGCCCGAATATCAGCGAGCGCAGGGGTCTGGTCAAGAGCCTTTTTAACTATCAGGTTAAGAGTGTGTGCAATGCAGACCGTGTGACGGAGCCTCAGCTCCCTGCCACAGGCGATCATATTAGCAGCACCATCTGTAACCAGGCATGTTACATTGTTGGTTATCCCCCATTCCTCCATGAGGGAGGCTTTCAAGTGAGCTAAATTTTCAGCAGTGTGTGCCTGGGGAAATTTGAGCACTCCTAACAGAACTGAATTGAGACAGGTGTTGCTGTCAACAAAGTGGCAAGCTACTGCCAGGTAGGCACCCATGTTGATGGACGTCCACAGGTCAGACGTCAGGCTCACTGCAGTCACCTTCTTCACGTCAGCTTTGGCCTTCTCCTTGGACTCGGCATATTTCGCCTCCACCATGGCCTTTACAGCCTAAAGGAAAGAAGAAGCAGTGCTTAATTGCCAAATGCAATATTGTAATACTCTTTTGCTTAATGCATGGACCTATACACACCTGCCTTGTGGGAAGAACATAGCTTGGGTCTAGTTTCTGAACAAAGTCCCTGAATCCCACATCCTCCACAATACTAAATGGCTGTGTGTCTTTCACAATCATTGTGACCAGGGCCTCATCCAGCTCTTGTTTTCTGGTAGCTAGAAAAAAAAGAGAAGCTGAGTAAATAAAGCATTTTTTACCTTTCTTTCATTTGCATGGTTTACAAAAATCAGGATGGAACAGTGTATAATATTTGTAATGACACACCTTGGCTGGGCCCACATCCATTTCTCTCCTTGTTCTCATGCAATGCACGGTAATGCCTTATCATGGATGAAGTGTTATTATTGTACCCCAATTCCTTAGAGCACAACATACACTTCACCTTTGAATAAAAGATAGTAAGAAATTATGAAATTGAATTTTTTTTTTCTTACAAATACAATGCATTGGTAATAATGTATGTATATATGTACTGTATGTATATATGCCTACCTTGTTAGAAGAAATCTGATCAAAGTATTCCCATACAGGGGAAGTCTTTCTCTTTTTTGCTGGCTCCAAAGAAACAACAAGCAACAATATCAAATAAGCTACACTATCAAATAACCCAAGCTCACCTCTATCACAACCACACATCCCATGGGTTTATATAGCTGTCAAAAAGTCGCGCCAAGATTCGAACCGATTCCTGAACCAGTCCATATTTACGATAAAGCAGATCGCGGAGACATTTTAATCGATCAAAAATCGTCATATGGCACACCCCTAGTTAATTATTAAATGTTATTTATTAAAGTTATTTATTCATTGTAAGTTTTCACTAAACATTTGCACAATGTTATATATATATATATATATATACTGTATATATAGGGTACAACGGAGCTAAAGGCACCCCTTAAGAAAAAATGTGCTTTTCACTGCACCTAAAATATATAATTGCAGAAAGAATATGTATGTTGTATTGAACATTAATGGAGCAACAGATTTTGTGTGAAAATAAATCATTCAAGTTGTTTACTTTGTTTAAAAATCTTATAAATGTACCCCACACACGGTATTGATACAAATACTTCAGCTAAAATAATGTTTTTTAAATAATGTCTAAGTTAATACTTGTTCAAAACAATCACTTTAGCAAAGTTTGTACTATTTT